CCTAATGGGCCAAGGGGAGGGACACACCAGCCCACAAGAGGGCTGGCACGCCCCTCTCCCTGGCCGCCGGCCCTAGGGAAGGAAAGGGGAGGGTTGGCCCCTCCTGCCTTTCCTCATGAGAAAAAGGAAAGGGGGGCACCTCCCCCTGCCTTCCTCCCGCACACAAACAAGGAAGAGGGGGCGCGGCTTGGGGAAGGAGCCCAAGTGGGATTCGGCCCCACTTGGGGCACCTCCTGGCTGCCTTCCCTCTCCCCCCCCACCTATATATATGTGGGAGGAGGGCACCACACATAACCACGACAATCTCTTAGCCGTGTGTGACGCCCCTCTCCACAGTTTCGTCCCTCGGTCATATTTTCATACTGCTTAGGCAAAGCCCTGCGGAGATAGCATCACCGCCACCGTCACCACGCCGTCGTGCTGCCGGAACTAATCCACTACTTCCTCGTCTTGCTGGATCAAGAAGGCGAGGACGTCACCGAGCTGAACGTGTGCTGAACGCGGAGGTGTCGTATGTTCGGTACTCGATCGGTTGGATCGTGAAGAAGTTCGACTACATCAACCGCGTTACTAAATGCTCCTGCTTACGGTCTACGAGGGTACGTAGACGCACTCTCCCCTCTCGTTGCTATGCATCTCCATGGATAGATCTTGCGTGTGCGTAGAAATTTTTTTGTTTTCCATGCAACGTTTCCCAACAACGTCCCCCTTTCTTATCACCGTCATGGTGGCGGTAGGAGTATGGATGGGATGTTTGCCTCAATCTTGCCTCCTGGTGTTGGGCCTCATCGGATCCTAGCTTCCGGCGTAGGTGGTGTCGTCCTTGGATCTGGAGAAAGCCTTGCACCATCGATTTGGAATCTAATGATGGGGATCCTGCGCATAGTCGATGGTTGCTTTTTAGGAGCAACATCGCCCATGCCGGTTGGCCGACCTCCTCAAGCCATCCAATCTTTGGGCCGAATGGCGGCCATTCTTATTCCTCCCGGCCATGATGCCAAAAGGGAGGCAGTGTTGTGTCAAGCTGGAGTCTGTGGTGTTCTGCAGAGGTCTCGCCGGACCAAGTGGTACGTCCCCGGCACCGACGATGATTGTATCCAGCAGGGTGCAGCAAGGACCCGATCGCGTTTTCACTTTTCTTAGTAGGGTCTTTTCCGTATGATGTAGGGACTTGTTTGTAATTTCCAATTTCTTTACAGTCCTTGTTGTAAGTTGTACGGCTTCACCGACTTAATCAATGCAGTGATGGGTCCTTCTGGGCCCTTCTAGAGTTCAAAAAGAAACATTTCTCCTCAAAATTCTCATTCTTTGTTGCCATCTTTCTATATTAAATCTTTCATAATGAGCAGTACAAAAGTGGTAACAGAGTCAACGTCTCCTCTCTCTCTCTCCCCCTGTCTCGCTCTCTCCCTCTGTCTCCTTCTCACTCTCCCTCTCCCTCTCTCCCTCCCTAGAGGAAGAAAAGAGGATAATGCTCCTCTCCTTTAGGAGGACAGATTCAAACCCTATCTAGTTTCTCAAAAGCAGGATTAGCAAGATTGTTAGCCCGAGTGAACTTTCTCCTATTTAGAGGCATTTATCTCAAGATGGCATGCCCAATCATACCATTGAAAACAAAACTCCAATGATCAGTTTCATTGAGCTTATTTTTTCCAGAATTATTTCTAACGAGATTAAAATCCCCATCTACCACACATGGTAGAGGATTGTCATGATACACTCTTGATAACTCTGTTAAGAAAGCAGCTTTAGCATCTAACTGAGCATCACCATACACAGTAATCAAATTCACAAGGATCCTAACAAAGCATACTCCAACTTCATCTTGGGTCATATCCAATGTCACTGTTAACCCCACCAGTATTCCTCCTGATTTACCTCTTGGAGGAGACCAGAATTTCTCCCTCCACACAGATTATGTGATTATTTTTAGTGTAATCAACTTCAAAGGTTTCCTGTAAACCAATAAAATCAAATTTTCTTTCAAAAAAACAAATTTTCTTTCAAAAAACAAATCTCTGAAAAATCTTTTTTTAACATCTTGACCAACCCCCTTAGATTCCAAAACAAACTTTTTTAAGCATCTTGACAAATCCCCCTTACATTCCAAAACATAACCATCATCATTTATGAAAATAAATAAATAAATTTAGTTCCTTTTCTATTCTTCTTGATCCCACCAATAAAAACAATGTGCTTCACATAGCCAATAGCATATTTGACCATCTCGAAGCGATGGAGTCTTCTGACCCCCCACCCCCCGTGTCGTCTCCCTGAGGCGACTCAGGCGGGCACCTCACCGGCCGGCGGCTAAGCCCCTTCCCCACCCACATCCCCTCACCGCCGCCGGCAAACGACGTCGGGCAAAGCCTGCCGGCGGCTGGCGGCGGCGGGATCCGCTCTCTCCAGCGAAGCTCGCCATTCAACACCCCCGTTTTCCTCACTCCACCTCCCACCACGCCGGCCATCTTCTCCGCCTGGCCGGATCCGACCGTCCTCCCCACTCATCCGCCTCGGTGCTCGTCGGATCTGGCTGAGGGCGCCCTTTGCGGCGCGTGGCTACCTTCGGGCCGATGCCCCACGTGGATGCAAATCCATTTGCGCCGCGACCACCTCCGCTCGATCTGCTCCGCCCTCCCCGACTCCGTCTGCACCGGCTGCGCAACGTGCGCTCCAGTTGGCGCCCCTTCGTTCAGTGCGTGGCCCCCAACCGCGGTGGTCATCAGGCTGGCTCGGGGTCTTCCACCTCTGCGCCCGTGCGCCGCATCCCTCCGCTTTGGCAAAACTCCACTCCCGCGTGTCGTGCGTCCTGCTGCTCTACGCCTCTCAGGCTGGGCTGCGCCGCCGCTGGCGTGGCGCGTGCGTCCACCGTCGCCCACACCACCCCCTCCCTCAGATCCATGCTCATGGGTGCTGGGTGGATTGTTGCGGTTCCCCTGCCTCAGGCGGGCCATGCGGCTCCGGCGCCCTCGGTCTGGTCGCCTTCGCGGCCGGGCATTTCAGCTGCGTCTGGTGTGTGACCGTGTCAGCCGCGCTTAGCATGGTGGACTGCTGCCCCTGGCCGCAGTTCCCTCTGACCTTCGGCTCTCTGTCTCCGGGAGAAATCCCTTCGCTGGTTCCTTGCCAGCGGCAGCAACGGCGATGCCTTCCCGGCGCCGCTTCATCTTCTTGGAGGCGCTGCTGTGGAGTTCAGTGCAGCTATGGTTTTGGACGAAAGTCCTGCAATGATGGCGGCTGTGGGCGTCATTCAACCTTCCTGAAGGTCTCGTGAAAACCCATGCTTCAATCCTCTCACCTACGCCGTCCATCCCATCATCGACTTTTGTCTCTCCGTCGACCCAGTCACCGTCATCCATCCATTCGTCTGGTGTTCGTCTTCGGTGTTGTTCCCCGGTGTCGGCCATGTTGTTGTGCATGTTCAAGCCCCTCCCACGGTGGCCATTGTGCTGCGGTGAGCTTAGTGCTCTTGGTGTTGTTCCGGTTCATCTTTGCTCTTCGACGACGCAAGATGCCTCCCCAACTTGCTAATCGTCCTGAATTCCCGTGGCGGAGCTCCCAGTCAAGGTTCGTGTTGTCACTCGTTGGTTGTGGATGCTCCTGAGTAATGTCATGAGGTTCGGTATGCACGCCGGTGCGGTGCGTTAGGCTGCTTGCTTAGTCTTGGTATTGTGATCCTTCGATGACACCCCTCTTCTAATTGTGCCTCCGTGGTGTTGGTCGTTTGGTCTGCTAGCTAGGTCATCCCTTGTCCGGGGCGTCCTTTTTTTCTTCTCTTCTTCAGTTATTGATGTGCTGTCATTTTTTCTCTCTTTTTCTATAACCTTGTTGCCTGTACGGTTTTCGGCCCGGTTTCCCTTATAAACGGGGTCAATTTGTTTAGGTTTTCGATTCCTTCATAAACGGGATCAGCCAAAGTTAAGGGGTGACTCTTGGCTTTGGCAGCTTTTTGAGAAA